AAGATAACGCTACTCCACGTTTCCGTTGTCCAGGATATTTTAGATTTTGAAACAGGAAAAATTGTAAACTTACCTTATAAAAACTCAAACTAGACTTATGCATCCATTGTCTACAACATTCCCTGGAGGCATTTAAGTTTTGCCTCGTGATTCCATTGGGTTTGAATTTGTCGTAAGACGCTTCGTCTGCTAGTGTTACAAATCTTGACCAGAATACGACGATCTCTTTCAGTGATTTTACGGGGTCGGCCTGAACTCTTACCACGAACGCTAACACAAGCTGTCTCTCCATACTTTTTTATAATATCCCCGACTGTTGATTTTGCAATACTCAAGTCATTTGAAATTTTTTGCATTGATTTACCTCTGCAGTACTGAGATATGATAGTTTCTCGCACTTTTTTGTTTGTTGCAACACCACGCGTCATTTTCTTATCAACTATTATACAAACTTGAAAGATACAACCCGAACTGACATCTCATTTATCTAAGCATACTACATTTTACCATCAATGCATGAGTAGCATTGATTTCTTGGTCAATAAACATTCGCTTCCGAATATTTATTTGTCAGCAAATTTGGTATGTTTCCGTTATTTTGCTATGTAATTCATGCTAAATACAAAATAATTCATTACTATGGCACTTTCTGTGCTATAATAATATGCGTAAATTGATTATTCAATCGACAAAGCAAAAAAAAATTAAATAGATATGAAAATGTCTTTTTTATCATTTTTTACATCGTCCGAACATTTAGTTGTTAGGGCTCGTAATACTAAATACACTAAATATATATGTTACCGGCAAAGTCCGTTATGCAGTCACACTTAGGTTTGCCTAGGCAAAGTCCGCATTACCGGGCCACTTTAGTTTTGATTAGTTATATATTTCGGACATTGCCTACACTGTGGTACGACACTCTTTTTAGGTTTGCCAAACGTTCAGCAGGCAATCTCCAAAATAAGTGATATCCCGATTGCACACGCTCGGGGCGGGGTGCGACTTCATTGAATTCTAATTCTTTACGTCTTTTTAGTTGTAGTTAGGCGGCTGTTCTGTTCAATTAAGTTTAATCGTTATCTGAATTGTAACCAAGAAAACATATACAAGTATGAGTTACGCGAGTGAAATGAAGGCGGGATTTTTGGCGAAATTAAAGAGTATGCAAAAACCAATAAATTCGTTTTACATTCCAACGATAGGTAAGTACGCATCATAAATTAAAGAAGCTGAAGAAGCTAAGAAAGCTGAAAAAAAAACAACTCTTCAATTTTTACGTCTTAAACGTTACGATGTGTTACTTGTTGGGGGCATTAAAAAGTTAATCCTACCATTGTCCGAGCAAGTTAAGTGAAGTGAAGAATTGTTTGAAGTGCTAGGATAATACTCACAATGGAATGTGGACATGCTGGAAGATATATTTTGATTAAAGTACTAAGCAACAAATATGCTAACGTAACTCGAGGATGCATTACACTTTACTTAGAGCTATGTGAAGCTTGTCACAAGAAGAAAAAGCATAAAAAAGGAATAACCGTAAAACCGCTGCTATTCCGAGCAGTAAATTCGAAAGCACAAGTCGATCTTATAGTAATGTAGGAATCCTAATTCTACCCAAATAGACTTATCTTTTTCTTGTCAAATATCCAGTTTTTGGTAGTAAGTGACATACATAAACAATACAAGGTGTATTTGTGATTGTTCTTTAAGATACAATAAATTATTATTACAAATCGATTTCTATACCTAATAATTTTGGACTTTGCCTAACGTAGCCTGGCAATGCGGATTTTGCCTAAGAAAACCTAGGACTTTGCCGGTAACATATTTACTAAATTTGAAAGAGCAAAAATCTTGATTTTGCAATTTAAATCGGTTTAGCCGTTATTTGTCTTAACCAGAATTTGATGAATTACTTTACAATTATTGTAAAATCGTTAGTTAGTGCCTGAAGAAATTTATCAACGTCTTATATACCATATTTTTTCTACAGCGTTTGTGGCTAACTTTTTGCAAAACTGCATGAATATTTTCAATGACTGATGGGTGACTTGATGGTCGGAACTGGCAAATGTCAAAGTAGCATCTATCCAAAAGATCGATGGCTCTCCAGTGTGCTTTCAGTGGCAAGTGTCTCGGCACAAAACAGCAAAATGTTCCAAAACCATCCGATCGCTCCCAAATCCGTGACTAAAGTACTGTCTGAAGTGGCTCGCAACCGTGACTAACGAAACTGACGTCTTAAAGTTACTTTTTCCGAACGCTTGGCGCGTGCGCAATGAGTTTTTTTGAGGAAAAAAGCTCATAAAGTGGGTTACAAGATTTACCAAATAATTTGCGAGTGTCAATTAATTGCCACGTGTAATATATCTAGAATGTAAGAAAAAAGCGCGTAAAGTGTGTTATTAGCTTTACAAAAAAATTGGCGAGTGCCAATTAAATGCCACGTGTAATATGTTTAGACTGTGAATTCTTCATTGCTTTGTTCGAGTATAAATAACCAATCTTAAACATGTTGAACATACATCCTATAACAAGACGATAATAATAACGATAATTATTTGATTTAACATTAATAAACCAACTTCTACAAAATGACTGCTTAATGTCAAACGCAAAAAGCAATTCGCATCTATAATCCGCAAGCGACGAGAATTTTCCTAATTTTTCTGACATTGAATTTAAAACAGTTGCCTTTTTACGAGAAAGATGTAAAATGGTAAGTACACAATACTTTTTGGGATTTTAATTCATTTATAGATTATTATTTTCAATCCTTAAGTTGTGCTTTTGGTTATACGTTTTATTATTTTTCTCTAACAATGCGGGCGGTATTTTTATAGGACTCCTGGACTAGTAAATCAAATCAAATGATGAATTCATTTCTCGTGAATACTTGTTAACCATTAAATAGTTTCGTCTTACAGGATAGTTTATTCCTTCAAAAATGAGTCATACCGTAACTATGCTAAGTCAAATGATTGATAAGCGAGCAATTTAAAAAATTGTTGGACCCATTTTTAGGAACATTTTAAAAATCGCGATGGTAATTATGTTCCACTGTGATATGACGTGGCAGAAACATGAAAATAATTTCCAGCATTTTATCTTGCCCATTTTTTTTTTCAAATTGACTGTCCGTTTCCCTCGTTGCTCTTACTGGGGTAGCCGGTATAATAGCCGAATCGTACAGACCATCCTGCATATTTAATACAAATAACATACATAATTTAAGTCCAACCAACAAACTCCTCTGAGAATATAATTGCAAAATATGTAATTTTATTTAATTAATTTAATTTTAAATTATTATTGTCGTATTTGTAGGGTTGTAGGACACCCTTATTAAATTTGATATATATGATAGATAAGTACAGATAAGTATAATTAATTACCTACAATTACTACTAAACGATTGACAATAATATATAACCATTAACGGTATTTTCAATATTTGATATGCATATGCATAGGTCTTTTTTTACGGGTAAATGTTATACTTATAGGACTAAATAATCGATGGCTTAAATGAATAAATATCACCAAACAACGGAATAATATACGTAAACACATTGATTAGTTAACTACTGGGGACCAAGTTTAAGAAAAACATAAGAAGTTGACAATTTTTCGTGTTTTTGCAATTTTTTTAAATAGCTCTTGGTACTTGCTTCTTGCTCTTCATCGCTGACCCATGTAGTTTTTTGTTTATGGAAACTTTTTTTATTGGATTGAATTAAATGTTATACAATATTTTTTTTATAGTTCAAAATACAGTATGAGCCCCAGCAAGTTAATTACACTTGAAATACAATTAGCATAGGCACGCGTCTGTATCATATTCAGAAACACATAAATTAAATGTTACACAAAATTCCCCATGTCAATTGGCAAGGCGCGTATATCGACAACAGGAGCTAATTAGGCACAATTTACATTTTGCATTTTCACTGTTTATTTAATGAGTTAATAAATACATCGAGTTTGTGGCATAACTACTTAAACAAAAGCTTTTCCGAAACTCGTATCTCAAATTCCGATTACCGCACTTGTTGCATCATATACTATTTTCCATAGTTGCTTCATAAGTTCCTATATTATCAGCAGGGCCTCTATAACTCTGGTAACGATTTGGTTCCACTAAATGTTTCAACGAAGGCGACAAAGACTTACTCCTAACGCGTGTAATTAATCTGTAGGGTTGCTATTGTAAAATTAATAAGAAAACATGCCAATAATATGTTTCTACTCCCGTCTGTAAAATTCCTAATTACTCACCGATCTAGCGTGCGGGAAGCGTCACTTTACCATGTCAGTTTCGTTTCCCACGAATCCGATCCATTTCGGACATTTCCGGGATTTTACCGCACGGATTTGGGAGCGATCGGATGTCTTCGGAGATATTTCCTACGCTTTGAATTTTGACGTTTGTCAATTCTGACGGTCATGTCAGTGAATGTATTTGTAGAAAAAGTGTAGTATGCAACACGTTCGGAAAACTTTTTAACTCACTCCTTTATTAAAAACTCGTAAGGCAAATGCCGTTTACCGCACTTGTTGCATAATATACTATTTTTTGAATTCAGGGTATCATAAATGAAAAATGGTTAGATATTTCCTCCGCCTTGAATTTTGAAGTTTGTCAATTCTGATGGTCAGGTCAGTGAATGTATTCATGTTATTTTGCGAAAATGCACCCAAAAACTTGAAAATGTACCCATAGAAAAAGCATAGTATGCAACACGTTCGGTAAATTTTTTAAGTCACTCGTGTATAAAACACTCGCTCTGTTGCGCTCCGCTAGTGTCAAATAAACTCGTGAGTCAAATGCTGTTTACCGCACTTGTTGCATAATATACTATATCTCTTCTTCAAGCCCCGTTATTCATCGCGGTAATGAGTTGATGAGTGATGATATCGCTATAATGGTACGCCCTAAAAGGTGGACGAATATCGCATTTATTGGTTAAAATTTCAAATCGGTGCTTTTATTGCAGAAATCGGACAAATGCATGGGGTGAAGAGAGTTATGGTCTTTTGTGTGATGACTACAGTCTTACCGTCCCTTCTTATAATTACTCCGCTATATTTGAAGCATAGTGTTTTTGCCGACATCACTTATCCAGTGGCGGAATCAGACGTAGTTGCCATGCAAGAAGGCGTGTCTTCGATTTTCTGCGAGTCCTTGTCTTTGCGGATGAACTCCTCCTTCAACGCTTTTCTGCTCAAAGGGACACCGCAACTCAGCTCGAAAAGAAAACACATAAGGCTCAAAAAATCTATGATGCTACCTGATGACACATTGGAATATTGGGGATTTTATTTGTTAAAGGGTGCTTCGGTGAAATTAAAGGTCAGTATTATATAAAAAATATGTTGATATAACAAAGGCAACAATGACAATGCGAATGTTTTGTCGCTATATAATATTTAAGATCGCAGTTTGAACGGTACATCATTTGATTTGAGATTTCAGGCAAAAAATAAAATTGTCTTGTTTCAAATTTCTCTACCCCTGCATCTTACTCTTTGTGAAATAAAAATTACTTTCGCCAATTTTTTAGGGTATTAGTTTAATGTAAGGAAAATTCGGAAACCAGTTTTTCTTTTGCTTCAAAAATAATCACTCCAGAGTGTTTCAATGTGTAACCCGTCCAGTATTACCATATTCTTGACCTTCATAAAATTTCAAAAAAATGGGGTTCATACTTTAGAAAAATATTGCTTTGATCGATTATTTTGCTGTTAAATTAGGTTTAAAATTTTCGCTAGTTTCTCATAATGGGTAGGGATTTGGTACAAAGTATTTCTTCTTTTTTATATTTTAGCGATATAATTTTGAGATATAAAATATGCATATAAACATTGTATAGACTTGTGTGAATATCAGACCAGTGGATCCAAAAAATATTAATTTTAACATCTTCCACAAGTGTATATTTGGTTGCATTCTCTCGTACAATATTTCCACTGGTGTTTAGGTTTGTTTTTTGGAAATAGAAAGTGAAACCGTTTCCCAATACTATTTAACAATTTTTTTAATAAAAACAAATAGTACTATTTAAAAATCAGTTGTTAATGAATCAAACTCATCAAAATCATCCTCTTGGATTCTTTAGAGCTTAACTGAAACTGTCAGCAAGTTTGATTCATCAACTTGAAAATATAATTAAAAAAAAGTGGGTTCAGAAGGCATTTTAAAAATATAGCGGCGAACATGCGAAAAGTTGTTGAACTCCATCATTGTAATATTCGCATCTAGGTTTGGGATATTTAAAAAAAAAAACGATAATAATGAAGCTGCCATTTTGCCGTATTTAAAAAATAATTATTTTCAACAAAATGAGTGAGTTTGCCCTGAGTTACGTTACATCCAGGTATTCAGCAGGTTCTGTACGTTATTAATATCATCGATTTACTTCAGGTTTGTTCGAGGTACGAAGGTTCCAGAATACTCGTAGTCAGAGGGGAAAAGAACTTGCGCACTTGCGGATTATTGGAACATAATTACGAAAAATATGGTGCAAAGTTCGACACCGAACATAATCTCGTCAAGGTGACCTACGAGAATCCAGCAGAAGTGATCGGTTTGGTAGACAAACACGAGTTCGTCGACGATACAGGCGGGGAAGATTTGACCAACCCGGAGGAGGAGGTGGACATTTTTGTAAGGAAAAGAATCGAAAAAGGCAAGGCGCGTCTTCAAAAACTGAACGCCACCGCTTCAAATAATCAGGCTGATGCGAAACGTCCGAGAAGACACATGAGAAAGGATTTGAAGAAATTGGAAGAACTGCGTCGCGTCTTGAGCGAAGAAATGAACGTTCGGCGCAAGCGAAACCTCGCCGAACTCGACGCCCATATTAAACACGGCGGAAATGCGCTGAACGCAACGGAAGTTTTCAACGATAGTGCGAGTGTGAGCAGTTTCGAAACCGACTTGCTAACCTGCTATGACGGGCAAATCTTGTTGACCCAAGGATTTCCTCCAAGTCACCTGTGCAACGAAGTGACGTATTTAGACAGGAGCAATCATATGGTAAGCATTTCATGACTACATTAACAAATCAAGCAACAAATCTAGGAATGTTTGGATAATTATCCAGGTGATTTTAATGATCACTACTTGAGAATTATTTCTGTTATTATCAAGGAAATTTATATTCATGAAAAATCATCTTGTAATTCACTTCATTTTTTACTTGTTTTTGAAATTGATGATATCTGTCATATAAATAATATTATTTTGAAACAACTATTAAACAAGCACTAGTTAGTGAAACATCTATGTTTTTATTCAATACTTCAAGGTGCCTGAAAGAGCAATATTGTAATGTATAATATTTGAAGGAATGAAATATAGCCCATCCAGCAATTTTCCTCAAAAACTTCTGCCGCTGTATACTAGCCCACATGTTTAAATAAAATGGTTATCCTTTTATTACATTTACACTTAAGAATATACTCTAGATGGTATTTTATTTGAGTCTACCCAAGTGCTTTCAATCTAAATTATGGGCCAATTTTTGGAACTGTATTAAGCAGTTGCTTATGAAAAAAAATTCGCTGATTATATGAAAAATACATGTTCCATTAAAACTCGCCCTGATGTAAGCAATCTGTTACAGACTAACTGATTGCGACATGTTATTATACCATACCCACTATTCCATAGAGATAGTGATTCTCGTTGTTTTCATAACTTCACACATTCCAGAAGTCTTTTATATACGGAAATTATGACCTAATTGAATCCAACTTGCATCTAACACTAGTTTTAACACCTGCACATTAAGATTTCGCGAATAGATATTCTCGTTACTTGCGTAATTTGATTTTCCGTATTTAGGAAAGAGGTCAGTTCATCTGTCTATTGTATAATTCGATTAAGCACCTCATGACATGTTTTGAACATTGTCAATTCCTTAGCAATTTCGCTTCGAAATCCAAAATTTGGTTATACGCTTCAAGAAACCGATCGGTCAACCTCATCCCCATTGCCCTTAAATTTAAATAACGCCTTGAAATATTATTCAAGTGGAACCATACAATTAAATTCTCTTATATAAGCACTTCCAATTCGGTTTTAACTTTAATAGCTACTTAAAAGGGTCAGAAAAGTTGTTGCCTTTAAATTCCTTTTATACCAACAAATCTTCTAGTTTTACAGTAACTACTTCTATATATAAATATGGAAAACGTAATAAATTTTGGGAAGTTACCATCTATATCCATCACTATTTAAGAGGCACTAAAGTCCGATATCAAAAATAATATAGACCCTCCTTTTTGTTTTTACCTAAACATAATATTCCGTTCGTTGAAGTGTTCATACATCGCCGCTTCATAATATCGATAACGTATTGTTTCATACTTTTTTATGTATTTATTTATTTTATCAAATGTTTGATTTTTTTAGGTTACCACACACGAAGTTGCTTCTGATGGCTATTATTATTACATATTCTATTCAGACAACGACTTCGTTAAGAATGACATTCATGCTGTTTTCGACATCTACAAACCCACATATCGTTATGCTAACACATCAAGCATAAAAGAATGCGTCAATAGCGAAGAATGCAAGTTCCATATGGGTTTCATGTCCGATGAGGTAGTAATTGTAGAGGTGCCAACCAGAGATGGCATTGAGCACGAGGCAGATGATATTACGTATTTAACCAGTACTTGTCATCCAAGAATGAGTATTTATATGATCTTTCCAATATTAGTGTTATTACTGATATTAGGCTGTGCGTTTATGTAGGCTACTATGTAAATATATTTTGTTACTTTTTCCATTGTTTGAATTTTTAATATTTCTTTATTGCTTATTTTAAAGAACCACAAAAAGGAACAATCTGAAGGTAAGACCACATTAGGTGAAACGGCACTCCAACGCAACTTAAATTTCATTTGTATGACAGCTCGCACAATGCTTTGTGCAACTTGACACAGCACTACGAAGCTCAACTTTTTTACCAATTTTGTTCCTTCATGGCATGCCGCGTATACCCACTGCTGCTAGTAGGATGAATGAAGCGAAGTGATACTTCTTTATTTTTTCGAATGCTAATAAAATATCGCCTTTCTAAGCCTTTTTTCCTAGAATTTTTGAATCTTTATCTTGGATGGATTTTCAATATTCTACTTCTTCAACTCGTGAATAAATATGCATCTATATTTTTTATTTCCGGTCACGTAAAGTACTTCAAAAAGCCTCATGTGCCTGTTAAAAAAAGTTTTGCGTAGCATCGCGTCAGAGCCCTTCACATGCGACATTTTTCAATTAATGAAGAATACATAAACGCAAATTTAAATAAGTTAATAATAAATCATTTTCTTATAAATTATAATTTAATGGCGAGTTCTATATAGATCATACCAAAAACTTTTCAAAAAATATTATTACTGATGGGCTATTTTTAAATTGCTGTATTAATGATAAGGCGCACATCTGTCTTAATTTATGTATAGAAAAAATTAGCCAAAGTTAGTTAACCTTTATTCGGCATGAAACTTTAGTTCAGTTTGCTATTCTATCTAAACGTTCACCGCATTAACCTAAATACACATCTCGTAGGAGATTGACCGAAGCGCAATCTAAAGAACCATTTATCTGTGAATATAACCATAAATTTACATTTTTTTAAATGGAGAAACTAGAAAGGACAAGTATCTTAAAGTTATGTATATCATGCCTTAAGGAAGGAGGAATTGAAAATGTATTATCCGACATATACAAAAACATCACAATCCTGGACATTTTAAATTTATGTACTACAATTCAGGTAGACTATTTATTTAAGAGTTTAGGCCGTAGTGTTTTGATTTTCCCATTTACAGCTTAGCAAAAAAGAAGTGGAAACGAAAACTTTGTGTAGTGAATGTATTGTTTTTCTTAAAGCATTTTATGACTTTAAAGAAAGGGCTATCGAATCTTACAAGATACTATCCAACTTGAATAATCACTCTTTGAATTTGGATAACTCTCACCTGAGTAAAAAGGATATGGTATTAAAGACTGAAGTTTCTTGGGAAGCTTTGTCTGATTCTGATGTAAATGATAATGGGGATGATAATTGTCAGGAAATTAGCAAAGAAGTAATCATTCAGGAAAGTTTTAGCCAAATAAGCAGCATTCAAAACCAAAAATCTTTATCAAAGCTGAACAAACAGTTGAAATTAGAGAGCAAATGGCAATGTGGTTATTGTAACATAATATTTTCCACATTGAACCCACAGGAGATAAAGAAACATAAATATATGGAAAAACAGAATCGGATTAAAGTGCATGAATGTAACATATGTGGAAAAAAATTTGATAGTTTTAGATTAAAACGTCATATGCCTTCTCATTCTACTGACAAACCGGTTGTTTGTGAATTGTGTGGAAAAGGATTAAGCTCAAAATACCATTTAAAAAAACACATGATGTTGCATAATGGTAAACCACATGTATGTGAATTATGTAAAAAGGGTAAGAATGTTGATGTATTTTGTTGTTTATTGAGCAATTGGTATATTTTTAGGATTCACCGAGAGGTTCCTATTAAAAGTTCACATGAATGAGCATGAGAAAAAAGAATCTTTTATGTGTAGTACATGTGGGAAAGTTTTTTTAACAACAATCCAGCTTTCGGTTCATGTCTCACGACATGCTTATGAAAAAAAAGTTCAAGAAGATGAAGCAAGAAATCAATTTACTTGTGAAATTTGCGGTAAAACACTTGCAAGCAAAACGAATTTAGAAATTCATCTTGCAAATCATCAAAAAACAGATTGGTATTCATGTTCCTACTGTAAAAAAAAATATACACACAAACGACAATTAAAAATGCACATTATCGAACATGAACTGCAGTATCGATGTAAAGATTGCTTTAAAATTTTTAAGAAAATTGATTTAAAGGTACATGAATGTCAAGAAACAAATACTAACTTTACCAACTACTTGCCAAATGAATGTAAAATATGTGGAAAAATACTTTTAAAAGTGAACAACATGAAGAAACATCTTCAGCGGCATAGTGCAAGAGAATGTCAGTTTTGTGGTGAAAAGTTTTTGAGTGCGCGAAAATTTAGATTTCATTTAAACTCTCATAAGTTAAAGTGTACCTTGTGTAATAAAGGATTTGCCAAAAAAGAGAGTTTGGAGTCACATATTGAAAATCAAGTCTGCATTAAGATTAAAGCTAAAAAGAAATGATGTCTTGCAATTTTATAGCGCCTTGGATAAATGTAATATTCTTAAATATAAGAATTAAAAGTGCCACATTTCAATTTTTTGTTGCGTTTTATAACCCTTTCAAACTGATTTAGTTAATTTTACCGATGACAAATAAATTATGTTATTCGCACACTATTAGATAATATAGAGACTCTAATGAGGAAGACAACTGAATTATTTCTCACGCTTGCGTCTGAACTTCACGCTAACCTCTGCTTTGTGTCATTTTTTTTTTTCAAACAGCGATCTCCACACATTTTCTCTAAACAATTAACGGGATCTGGACATCTTTTGAGAAAAAACTGCTGTTAAAGTGGAAACTATCGAATTTATGAACTGTCAGGGGCCATGTTATTTACTAAATGCCCCTAGTTCTTATAGGTAGGCAGTGAGATTTTGAATGACTGCGCCTGTTCAGATTAATAGCCCTTAACATTTTTCTATGGCGGTTTCGATTTTATCAGCATATTATTTGGTAATACAGTACAGTACACTAACCTACAGGCTACAGAAGATTTAAACAGATCTAAGCATATTTTGAGAAAATGCTGCCGTAAAAATGCCGCATACAAAGTTATTGACGATCTGGCAGCAGCCATGTTGCTTATTGTGCAAGGTCATTGGTTAAAGACGAGATTTTAAATTCCGCAAAATTTTTTTCATAGTTGCTTGATAAATTCATATATTGTCGGCATAGTCAGGGATTCGATATCTCTAGTAGCTATATGGATAATATAGTGGTCCTACCATGGTAAAAACTGTTAATAGCGGTTAATAATTTTCCTCGCATGCCTCCACATTTCACCCATTAACTCGCATTTTGCACTTTCCTAAACAGCGATTTCCATACACACAACTCGTTTTATTAGACCATTTAACAAGATCTAGGTATATTTCGAAATAATACCGCCGTAAAAAATGCCGCATCCGCATAATGAGATTTTAAATCTCGTATGTGCATGTTGTCTGGAACTTCTCAATATATTTTTTTTATATTTGCTTCTAAAGTTCTGGTATTATTAGCATAGACAGGGCCACTATATCTCTAATAGCTACCATACAAACACTTTTTTTCGCATTAAACAAAATATTCCTTGATGTAGCATTATATAAATACTTGAAAGGTGTTGGAATTGTCTGTTCCTAGAGAAACTGCACACACAACACACATTTATTCCCACCCATAATACTTTTTTGTCGTGATCCATTTTTATTTGTATTAGCTTTTGCGAAGTGTGGATCGAGGATTTCTTTCTTTATCCATAAGTTCCTGTGAAAGTTATTTATCTATAGTTCGAATTTTTTAAAAATTCGTGGTATTTCAAAAAATATTTTTGTTCAAAGTCTATAAACTGTACTGCTAGTGTTTTAGATTTTATATTTCGTGCTACCCGGTAAGTTCATTAGAATTAAATAGTGCTTAAATAGGAACCAGATTTTTGTTCTGTTTTGTTTGTTGTAGTTAATATGTAAGTAATATTAAATAAAAAATGCAGAGTCATTATCTAATATTATATTTTGTTGCAGCAATAACGAGTTGTAGTCTGCCTGGCAGTCGTAAATCTAGCAAGGATTGTGGTTGTTACAAGATGATGAAACTGCCCTTTTGAATACATCTCAGAGATGTTAGATTGAAAACTTGGAAGTCCAAATGTGTTATATCATTAATTAATTTTTGAGTTATTTTATCAGTAACATTTGAATAAATGGTTTTTCTATTATGGATCTTGTTTTTATTTAAAATTGTTAAAATTTACTTAGCAAATTTAGAAACTTTCAGGCAGCTTCTCATGCTATCACATGATCACAACTTAGAGGTAATCCACATAAGCATAGAGAACGCTAGTTTTGGACTATCATGTTTACAAAAAAACTTATTTCAATGTAACCCAAGTTAATCCCAAACCCAAATGTCAGGAAATTAGTTTTAGAGAATACAAAAATTAATATGATGAATATATAGGATTTTATTCACAACTTCAAATGTTAAATATTCCCAATTCTCCCGCTTTTTGCTTCAGAATTAATGGACTTACCTTATATACGCATAAGTTATTGTATGCGCGTTAAATAGATTTTAAGTTTAACCATTTAACTGAAACGTTGGAACACTGAAACGTGTCGTTTATTATCTCAATATTTAAAAAACGACATTTAAAAAAATTCTATCAAAATAATCAAAAATTTCTTCAAAAAAATTGCATAATGTCTACCACCAAAAAATTACCAATTAAAAATATATGCATTTTTAACAGCAATTTTTATCTGGTAATATATGTGGAATTGGATCGTGTTTACCCGACTTTGCCACCCATTTTTAAATGTTAGTCTACAAATATCCACCACAGATAAATGTATATTCACGTTTCGTAAGGCTTGATAGGTTTCAGTTAGATTTGTCAGATTGACTGTCGCTCTACCTAAATTACAGGAATTTATTATAAATCTTTTGATTGAATGGATCTTGGTCCGTCACGTGTCTTGACATTATTTTTATGGCTAAATCATCTTAAAGATCCGGCAATGGACCAATGGTGTTGGTTAATTTGCTCAACAGGCGACGATGGAAAAGAAAAAAGATGAATATATACTGTTGTTCCTAGTTTTGTTCTCTGGATTTGTTGTTATATTTTATCCAGCATTCTTTGTTTAGTATCCTCTCGTTATTGAGTGCGTGGTACAATCCTGTTTAATTGTGATTGGAGTTTGTAAACCTAGTAGAGTATTTCGACTATAAGTTAGAAAAAAAGCAAATTCAACAGACCGTTGTAGTCATGGCAGATGATTCCTGGAGGACACCAGCGTTTCGGCAAAGTGTTGTGGCAAAAATGTAAACATTTTTTCAAAAATATTGGTGTTTGTTATGTATGGTAAATTTTGTTACAGAGATGAAGCAATTCGTCAGTCCGGAATGAATACTTCCAGAAACAGTATCGAAATGGAAAATCACGTTTTTCAGAAGGCCAAAAATAAAGAGGAGTATCTTAGCTTTGTGGCCAGACTTATTTTACATGTTCGTGAAATGAGTAAGTTTTTCATTCAGCCTTAATTTTTTAAGTGCTATAACTGCTTATTTACTGAGATTTCGTGCCATACTTGTATAGCACTGATCTTCAACCTGTGATATAAAATTATGCCTGTCAGTTGTCGAACATTATTTGCACGTATTTTTATTTAATTTATCAAAGTTAATTTGGCATATTTTGCACTACACAGACTAAATTGAAATGTGTTCATAACATATGGGCCGTACCAGTTAGTAGTTCCTAAGTTATACAGAAAAATAAATTTTTAATTTGATTTTTGGCTTATTACTATTCCCAATCCTTATAAGGTTTCCAGGCCTAATGGGATAGTGATGCTCATAGTAAGAGTCATTATCCAAATAAGAATTAATAATCTGACAGAGTAAATTCTAGACTTCTGTAGGGGCATGATACTACATATTTATTTTTTACACAAATTGTTAGTGCCAATGAATCAAAGCCACAAACAAGACAGTACTTGTCCATTAAGACGTTAAGTGGCCCTTTTAGATACAAAGAAAGGCCAAGCTGGAATGAATGGTCATGGGCAGCAGCAAGGGGCGCCCGGCATGCCAGATCCAATTAATGCTCTTCAGAATTTAGCCAGCCAAGGAAGTCGGAATCCAATGGTTGGAATGGGTGGACCACAAACAGGGCAGATGGGTGGTCCTGCCCAAGGTCCAGCTACAAATTTGTTACAGACTTTAAATAGGGGCCCTGGACAACAAATTATGATGGGCACAATACCTGGAAGTATGCCAATGCAGGTAACTTTCTTTGATTAATTAAGTATTAAAACTGATAAAGACAGTTATATGCATATTTTTCTATATGGTAAATTGATTTGAAGGTTTTAAATTGGTTTATTTTTTGCTATAACTTTTGTATTTGTTATACTTGAGAGCACCTTCTATCACAATGTTATTAAAAATAATAGGTACAGGGTGCTAGAGTTAAATAATTTTTATTCTGAAAATAATGGTATGGGGCCTTGCAGTCTATCGCATTTATTTAGCGGTATAAGGTGCGCCTTTGTTAAAGAAAATGAAAACTTTTTTTGTTGCAGATGGTCAGTAAACAAATAAGATCGCTTTTTTTTTGCTGGAATGTATAAAACATTTCGCAAAAAATTTTCAATGGCTACATGCAAAAAGCGTTCTGGTTATTTTTTTCTTGTATAAAATCTCGGCAACAATTTTGAAGTCAGATTCAAAAATATCCACAATAGAAACCGGGGTTCCCGAGAGAAGGGGAAGGGTCGCATATTTGAGTAATGGCTTGACATAAAGTTTAATATTTACGATTATCAGTAGGGGTCCGTCTAAAACTAATATTTACAATGTTGTCAGTTTTATTATTTTTCCTATGTTGCAGCTCAACAATTTGATAGAATTATACAATAATACTATATTAGCTTTAAATTAAATTTTGTGAAAAAAAAAACTAAATTTACACAATTTGATTCCATTAACAGGTACATCAAAATATTGGTATGCAATCGAATAACGCTATGGGCGGACAAATGGGTGGGCAAATGCCTGGACAAATGCCCATGCAGATGCAAGGCCAAAGTATGGGACCCATTTCAGGTCAGTTGGCTGGTCAAATGCAAAATACGGTAGGGCCGCCTGGGCAGATGGGCGGCCAGTTGCCTGGACAGATGCAGATGGGAGGCGGAATGCAAGGGCCCATGAATAACCAAATGATGGGTAAATTTTTTTGCATTCTTTTTGCAGCGACCATTGATTTAGAGATGACTAGTATTTTTTTAGTCAATGCCTAACGCTCTATTACTTTGTGATTTTTTCAATAAGCACTGATTTTATATAGGCGTTTAGCTGTAGCTGTTTAGCAATATTATCACTGCGAATGGTAAATAATGAGCACGATTGTTGCTAATAGAAGCCCAGCAAGTATTTTCTTAAGATTTGGCAAAACTTGTTTCTATTTCGTAGCTGGTATACAACAACTCCAACAACAGAAACCACAGGGCCAAAATCCAATGATGATGAATCCCAATGCCATGGCAGCCGCAGCTGCCGCAGCAGTAGCCGCTGGTGGTTTTCCACGTCAACCGACTCCTACTCAAATGTTCACTCAGAGTCCTTTGCCACCATCAGCACAATCACCAGCGGGAGGTATAGTGTAGTTTTATAGAAACAACAGTGTATCACACTTTATTTGTTGAATTCGTTTAATAGCTAAAGAGGACGCTCATGTATCAATTCTTATTAAAATGGGTACTGACTGTTTACTATGAATATAGGGCTATTCCACTCTTATCAGGTTTATGTTTGTTTAACTATTTCCACTTTAGGAAGTGGTGGTATGAATGTAGGTCAGCCACCAGTGGCCTCACCAGCACTTGCACCCTCACCTGGTGCCCAGATGGGTATGATGACAAGTACCGGTGGACCGCCAAGATCAGTAAACATGGCGCCAAGTCCAAGTAGCGCATCATTAAATACTCCTGGACAGCCCGGTCAAAGTCCCATTTCCGCGGGTGGCGCTATGACAGATGAACAGGCTTATAGAGAGAAGGTCCAAACTAACCAAACTTTAGTTTAGTATTGAAATAAGTTTTGTTTATAGGTTAGGCAACTAAGCAAATACATCGAGCCACTACGCAAAATGATTGCTAAAATGGGGAATGATGATGTAGAGAAAATGAGTAAAATGAAAAAGCTTTTGGAAATACTTTCGAATCCTCATCAAAGAATGCCTCTGGATACTCTTATTAAATGTGAAATTGTCCTCGAGAAGATTGACTTTAAAAGAGGCGATAATAGTGTACCAACCACGGCGGCACCGCACCTACCTTTCAAAGAGCCGCATGTATTTCATTCACTGCTTGATGCAGTGAGCCAAAATTTGCAAAGTCCTGTAATTAATCATACTCTCCACCGAACCTTTGGACCCACCCTCGACGCCCTATTTGGACCTGAAATGAAGTAAATTTTTTCCGCGTTATCGAGACAATTTTGATCGGCTTTTGTTACTAGATTGGTTCCACCACTGAAGAAGGCCAAAATTGAGGAACCAACTAGTGATATTCCAGATGTTCTTCAGGGTGAAATTGCACGGTTAGATCAGAGATTTAAAGTCAGCTTGGATCCAAATCAGCAACCTGGTTCTAAATCCATCCACCTAATTTGCTACTTAGATGACAAGCATTTGCCTTGTGTACCGCCTATATCATTGACAGTACCTGAAGGGTATCCTAAGGTTTCTCCCACTTGCCATGTGACACCGCACGAATATACGGCCACAAAATTTTTGACAAACGTCCAAACTGCGTTGCAGGTTGGTATACTTTTATTTGAAGGTGAAAATGACCATCAGACTGCATTACATATTTGACATGTTTAGCACATTTTATTGGATTTTTGGTTGCCACCAGTTTCATTAGTTTTTCTGATATTCGGTTTGGCAAAAATTTCATTACAAGTTGCAATTATCTTTTTTAAATGTGTGCATATAATTATGAATTATTCAAGGAAATTGTGTAACATCATTTATTCTACCTACAACGTAAAAATAAAACATGAATAAACAATTATTTTTTGGGAATACTCGAGAAGCAAAAGTATATTTTGCTGTCTTGAAAAGCAGGAATTACCCTAACGACACATTTTAATAGTTACTCTAACTACAAATTTTAAGAGTTATCCTAACTATAAACTTTAATAATCACAAAATCAAATTTAGAGTATGGCACAAGAGTTTGTTGTTGGTCATTTCCGAAAAGTTTGCAGTACTTGGAGGTATTCTAAAAAACTCGTTTTGTTTTAGGCAAGGATTCAAAAATTGCCGAAGTATTTTTCCGTGTCTCAGCTCTTGGATACTTGGGAAATGAGTGTAAGACAAGCCTCGGCGCCCAGCAGCACTCCTGTTGATGCGCTTACTATTCTCCTGGGCCTATAATTATTTATTTCAACATTGTATGAATTTATTCTTTTCAGAAAATTAAACACTTATGTAAAACCAAATTTTGTATGCCCTGGAGGGTCAACATAGACCAAGAGTTTTGTGCATAAAAAATCATTAACGAAAAAAAATTGGAGCTACAACTAACATAGTTTGAGCATATAAACTTTATATATAGAATCTCTAAAAATCGACCTGTAAATCTCCAATCTGCCAATCTTGTCTGCCATTTAACGTTCATTTGGGTAAAGTCCATTGAATTGAATTGCCGATCATAAATTGAATGCTTAAATCATGTGTAAGTGACATCATATATTTGATCTAAAGAGAGTAAGGGTAGTACATCATGTTAGGTTGGCAACACTACTCAGTAGTTTGCACGAGAGATATACAGGATGTTTTAATTCTTAGTGTTAATAATTAAGGGGGAGATTTTTGGGTCCATTAAAAAAAAAACTTCACATGAACATGTGTACAAAACGTATAAATTTTTGAGATTTAAGGTGGTAAAATTTACAAAAATAAAATAAATTTTTTTGGTAACTATCATACCACTTTAGATATTTTAATGATATTTGGCACACATGTACTGTGTAACAAGAATAATTATTTAGGGTACCACCTGTCTATTTTGGCATACATTGTTGGTATGTCACTAATTTCTCATAAAATTATTCTTGCAATCTCCAATCATTTCTAAAGAAATTTAATTTCTTGATTTTTTTCAATCCCATGTACAGTTTTCGCTTTAAAAAATAAAAACCTCTGCATGATCATAACGATATTCCCTTAATTATTGACACTCAATTATAAAACACCCTGTATGATTGCAATGTAGTTTTACATTAAACGACCCGAAGCGAAGCTGGATTGAACGAATGGTCTTTTTCTTTCTTTGCGATGAGTGACAACTTTTTCAAGACGAATAGTTTCTGGGTATATTTTGGGAAAACAAAAGAACTGAGTGATGTGTGCCATGACCGTCAGAGTTGCCAAACGTCAAAATACCATAGTTAAAATATACCGAAAATACAGGATCGCTCCAAAACTCGGTAACTAAAATACCAGAAAAAACGTGGTTCTCGACCGTGGGTAACGAAGATGACTTCTTTACGCGATAGTTTCCGCACGCATCGTCTCCCAAAGACGTAAGAACAGGGTTAAAAAGTATCGCAAACCTGCCGTGACCGTTTTTATTCAGACCTTTGTTTGGATTTCTTGCTATAATTGATCTAGCAGTTTAAGAAAATAGGCTGCTCATTTCAAAGGTGCTGCAAATGCGCCATCTGTATCCGATTTTATGTTAGTGCACAGGTTACCCCTATACATTTCCGAAATCATGAGAGAAAAAATTTCTCTCTAATAAATGCAATCGTCGGACATTTAGCAGATAACTGGTACTGGTTAGTTTTGGATAGTTTCACGACTTCAGAAAATAGCGATTTGGTTACGTATTTTGTCAAATGTCACTAGCGAGCGTGTGTATGCGTTGTTCCAATTAAATACATTTAATATTTATTAGGAAGTCAAAAATGTGTTTTTTTAGTCTTAAAAAAATCATTGTTGATGGTACCAACAAATTCGGGATGCTTTATAGACGTTTTCAAAATTTACGAAATGTTCTATAGTCTTATAATCGCCGATATTAAGAAGAACAGACACTTCCAAAGGAATGAGGGTTGCCTCGGTGCTTCCTTAGTCACATAAACCTAAAAAAAAACAAACATAGATAGGCACGTTCTTTTCGAAATGTTAGTCACACCTGCACACCGATATCCTTTACGTTGTGATGGGGAAGTGTCAAAACTGATCGAACGTTGTCGGAGAGGGCGGATTTTGCTAGCATATTCATCAAACTATGAGTAAAGAAAACCTAAAACATGCCGCGACTAGGTGATCAAGTTCTTAGATTCAGTGGATTTTTACTAAAAAAAAAGAGATGGGGTCATCCATTTAGTTTTCGAGCAATATTATATATATTTTAAAATGGTCCCAGAAAGCTGATGTGTTGAAAATAGAGTTTTTTGACACAGATTTAACGTCAGGTACCTACATTTATGTATATAAAATAGATAAAGGAAAAATGAAAAACTTAATATGCAAATGCTAACCTTACGTCTACTAACGGATATTTAGTTTTGGTTAGTTTTGATGTAGCATATTAATTTTTCAGTTTTTATTTCATGTCTAATTTTCAACAGGATCCAACCAATTTACGTTATTACATATGCCAATGACGAACGATTAAATAAATTTATCTTGAAAACAAAACTCATGTTTTGTGCTTTCAGATTTTCGTATGGTTGTTTTAAATCCGTCCATTTTCCTGCCATTCCTTGCTACTTCTAGTTTCAATTTTAGCTTTCTACACCCATTTTCCAACGAATCGTTTGAAAAACATGTTTTTTTTTTAAGTTTCAAAGTTTTAAATATTTTAAGGGTATATTTATTAGCCAGGAACAAGTCCGTTTTATTGCTAACTTGCTTCGTTTTCGAGATACAGCGTATATCTAGCTTCAGCTTAACTGTTATCATGCATCTCCCTGGACTTTCTAAATGATTCAAAATCCTTTAAAAATGACTTTTATAAAACTGGGCCTGCTTATTTAAGGCGATAAGTGACTTTATTTGTTGCAATTAGAATGAAATTATTTATTGCAGTGGTGAACCAGAGGGCAATTTAATTATAATACGCCTTTTATTTTTGGAAAAGTTAAATACTTTTCTTAATCTAAGAAATCAAAAATAAAACTTTTTTGTTACTTCAGTTTCCATTTGTCGCATATCCCAAATCACTTAATGCTTCTCTATTCGTGTAATGTTTTTTATTTTATGGGCAACAAACAATTTCTTTTAAAAGTATAAGTATTTTTCAACTTTCTTCTTAAACAACACCCACTTGGTTATGAAAAAAAATCATTTTTCGTCTTTTGCTTCTTTGTGATAAAACAAAGCATTTTATAGAAAATCGCGAGAGTGTTATCAAAATCAAATGTAGAAAAATAGTATACAATCTCTCATTTAAGCAACATTAATAGATAACTCATTTTATTTATGCTTTGGTGGGTGGTAACCTTAAGCCTATTTTTTTTTATCTCGTAGCAGAGTTTGGCTTGTTTGGACGTAACTAAAATGAATAACTAATCAGGTATAAAGTTTTTGAGTAATTAATAAAAAAAAACGATTTTTCTAAAAACTAAACAAGTTAGGGCACATGTTATAGGAAAAACATTATTTTAACCTGATATAATTATACCCTTTAAATCTTTTTATGGAACTTTGAAAAGGATTTTATATTTTGCAAGCACGTATTTTGAACATAATATCACTGAATGACTTTTTTCTTTTTTGTCGCCAACTGACAGAGCTGGAATTCAATTAAAAGATCTATTTGTCGCTGACGCTACTTGACTGACTTCTATATATTCAAGTTAATTTCGCTACAGGCAAATGTTAAACAATTTTCCCTGTGAGAAGCGCTATTATTACGTACGTAGTTTGACCCATTATGGTCACTTTTATCCTTACTAACACCACAGCATTGATGGTAAATACTTTCTTCATTTACAATACTTTTCTTTGTTGCCGCAGGTGATGATCGACCAATGTTGAATAATGCAGTTTCTTTCCTGTTATCAAAATCATGGTAAATGCTATGGAATTTTCGATCATCACTCTCCAAATTGGTAATGCAATCTTCCTCGTTGAGTTCTTCAATATTGCCCAATGAGTTTATCCCCTTAGCAGCGCTAGTTGGTCTGGTGTAGCCTTTGTAGAGTAACAAGCTGTCAATAACTGGCACCGTTGTGGTGTTCATGCACTGCTGTTGTCTAGATAAACGATCTTCAAGTTCACTGGACGTCAATGACTTTTTATCTGGAGTTGCCTTTGTAGTATCCTAAAGTAACGTTATTTTATTTGTTGTACCCGAATAAAATACTAATAAATGTACGTTTTGACTGCTGTCTATTAATGGACCTACGAACCCTACTGACTTTTTAGGGATACCGAAAGTTAAACTATCTGAAAATATCGCGAAAGTTATTTAAATTTACATCTCGTATGAGACGGTGGTTCTAACCGCTAGTCCTCAAAGAACTTTTGCGCGGATATTTTTGGAGACTTTTGGAAATTTCTGCACCGAGATGCCGACATCTGGCAATTTCGCAAAATGTCGTCATCGGTTTTACCGATCCAGTGATATTCTGTTTATTTAAACCATTCTCTGGTGTGTTGTTTTGTGGTTCCATCGGTTCATTTTCTCCATAATAAGGTTGCTGATTCAAACTGCCCTCTGATAAGAAATTTTGTAATTCTATGGATTCATTGTCTGCATAATACGGTGGATGTTGATCAGAAATATTTTTTTGACCAGAACTGCCCTCTGGCAAGTGGCTTTGATGTTCTATTGATACCATATCTGTATAGGGTAGCTCGACTATTTCTAAAGAGCACCGGACATTTGAAAACTTGTCGCCTAGAATGCACAAAATGATATTGTTACAGACAAATGAAGGCGTGAAATTAATAATAATATGATCCAGATAAAAAGTTGTTTATTATAATTTATGAATTAACTTTGAGGTGATTATAAGCGCATGAATAGTGTGAATTGGTAGGAATGTCGAAAGAGCATTTTTTTAAGGTGAGTGTCCATTGATAGCATTAGTCTCTCTAGAGTGGTTTGGTGGTCTGACACTATCTGATGTCACATCAGATGTCAATCAGTCACTTGTGCTGTTTTGTTAAAATGTACCTAAAATTCAAAGGCTGTACAAAAAGGATAGTATGCGACAGATTGATACGTTTATTAAGCGCTTCGCTTGTGTCAAATCGAACTTGAGACTAAAATTACGATCATCAAATTAGTTGCATAAAATACTATAAACGCGTTTTATGACAACCATTCACGCATTAAAAAATTATTCACAACCATATAGCTTTTAGAGGCCGTAAATTTCAAGTGGCTATGAGATTTTGACGAGGATGGGATTATTATATTATATTATATATCTAAATATCTACGTATATATATATATATATATATATATATATATATATATATATATATATATATATATATATATATATATATATATATATATATATATATATATATATACCTTGCCGATGCCCAATCTTTGAACCCACTTGCGTTCCAGCTTTTATAACACTTACTTTTTTCGGGAGACAGGAGACCATCTTGCTCGAGTTGAATAAAACTATCCTGAACGACTTCTTCTAGAAGAGTGTTTACAATTACGCGCTGATTTAATACATCATTTTCTCCATATTGCATATCAGCATTATTATAAACCACTGTTTTGGAGCCGATATGAACTAGATTTTGTTCCGGCATAGTTTGACTCATTGCATTTACGTACGCTCCTAAAAAAAGTAATTTTTTGGTAAATGCTATAGAGGTAATGAATAGTAATATTACTTGGAACTTTAGCTGTGATCTCTTTACAATCCCGATTTGCGCATTTATGACTTAAACATTTGTCGTATCTTCTTAAATCAGGAGTCTGTACACGACTAGGAGGATGAAATCCCAATATAGAAGGAGTTGTTTGTTTAGTTGTTTTTCCTTTAATTTTGTGAATTATCTTTCCTTTGCCCCTAATTAAGTAATTACAAATATTGCTTTCGGTTCATATAATCATCGCTTACCTTCTTTCCCGCATTAATTCAAAAAACAGCTTGACGTAACCGAGCTTCACAAATTTTCGGTTGAAGGGCACCGCGATGTAGAGTTCGCCGTGCTGTAGTTCGTGAGGATTTTGAATTACACGGCCTACAACGTTGCAAATGCTAGAAAATAATGTTCACAAATTTTTAAGTCAATTTTATTTTGCTAAATTGGCTTAATTTACTATTTAATTCCTTCAGGAATGTCTAATCTGTGGCTCAAATATTCTAGAATAATATGCCAGTCCTCAAAATCTGACGCCGTTAAAACAATCTTACAAGGTTTCTGATTGAGTCTTCCGTTTACCATGGTGTAGATAATCGTGCGTTTCTTCTTTTTCGTATAGGCTATAAAATCTAATATCGCTTTTAGTTCTTCGGTTTTTTTGATTCTTGGCATTCTGTTGGTAAAGTTTCTTGTTGGCAAATTTCGCCTTTCCTCTGCAGTTAGATAACTTAAAGTGAAAGAAATAATGTTGGTTACCCGACCAACCGTCATTTAGTGACATCTTTTTCTAAGTATAATATTTCAATATCAAGATGTTAATTTTTTCTTCGTTCTAAAGAAAATAATATGTTAATTCCCGTGCAATTTCCCTTTTACAATGATGACGATGAGTCCATTCTTTATTATGATATTTTTTTCTATTTTTTTATATTATATGTAAACTTAATCAAAAAAATTAAATCCTCCAGTCCTAACAGTTTAAACCACTGAATTCAGTAGTCTGTGTTCTCATCAGATCAAAGGGCACTTGATGTATCTTAAGTCGGGAAGATATTATTGTCACCTACGTGACGCTTACAATATGTAATTCAATATTACTTTCATTTATACAGGGTATTTTCTAATCGAATGTCATTAATTAGGGAGGCGATTTTTGGGTCCATTTTAAAAAGAAAACTTATTATTTCTTGCTTAAGTAATCTGTTTTATTAAAATTAACTTTGAGGCGGTTGTTTGACATTCTTTGCATCCTATTATTTTGGTGTTCAAAATATCGGAGCATTGTTATTTTAAAAAAGAATGATCGAGTTTACTAGTGAGCAGTTGGCAGATATGCATTTTATATATCGTTTGGCTGCAAGCAGTTATATAAAGAGCGCTTTCGTAATAGAGTCTGGTATGACTCTATTACGAAAGCGAACATTTTCAAGAAGATTGACTGAAACAGGTACTTTAAGTGCAAATAATCATTTAAAAGGTGTCCATCGGAAGGTAAGAACTCCAGAAATTGAAGAAGCAGTTTTCAATTTTATTTTTTAAAATCCTGAACTTAGTACTAGAAAAAATTGGTAATAACCTGAATATCTCGCGCGTCTTGGTTTGGAAACTTTTGCACGATTTTTTGTTGTACCCATATCATATTCGACGAATTCAAGCGTTACTTTCCAGAGATTTTGCGTGTTGCGTGTTAATTTTTGTTAATGGTTTTTGGATAAAATTGCGCATTATCTCTGGTTTTACCAGGAAAAACTATTTACAGATCAAGCTAACTTTTAAAAAAATGAAATCAGACGTTTCCACAACTAGCCATATTAGAGCTGATGTAAACCCCCACGCCGTTGTAGAATTTAAACATCAAGAGCAGTTTGTCGGTAAATGTTTGGGCCGGAACTGTTGGAAATTACTTAATTGGAACCTTTTTCTTGCCAGAAGGGCTAAATGGTCTAATTATCGTCTGTTTTTAGAAGAGGATTGGCCAATATTGCTAAAAGTAGTACCATCACTAATTAGAAATAGAGGGCGCGCCTGCTCAGTTTAGTGCTGCAGTAAGTTAAATCACAAATTTAATAACCGTAGGGTAGTTCGCGGCGGACTTCAATCATGGCCCCCTAGATCCCCAGATTTAAGTAGTATCAAATTTCTTTATGGGGCATCTTAAAAGTCTGGTTTATCGCACCCCAGTTAACACTGTAGAAGAGCTTCCTGCGATTTAATAAGAAACACTGGAGGTATACTTCAAAGGGTGCGCGGCGATATGAGGAAAAGTGCTCAAGCGTGTATCCTTGAAGGTGGAGGACACTTTCAACAACTTATCTAGTTTCTATGCTCTACTTTTTTTCAAAAAGGTTGTTATTAATTTATTAACCTTATTATTTGGTAATAATACATAGTGTTTTTTGAAAACAAGAATCATTTAATCACTAAAAACTAGATATTTTGTTTTAGATAGATATTTTATTTTCCTTAAAAAAATAATTACATTTGCATTCATTTTGAGCAAATTTGATCTATTAATTTTTGTTAAACTAATTTAAAACTAATTTCTCTGCATGTTGTCGTATTAACGATATTGTTATGATCCTCTAGAAAACAGAAAAGGTTTTTATTTTTTTTAAGCGAAAACCGTTCATCGTAATGAAAAAAAATGAAGAAATTAATTTTCTTTAGAAATGATTATTATTGCTTTAAGAGGAATCAGACATCAAAATAGACAGGTGAAATTCCTTACGCCTGCCACTGGCGTATTTAAAAAAAAATTTGGTACGCTAAATAATGTATCTTAATACATAGTTTATGTGTGCAAAATTACATTAAAATACCTTAAGTGGTATTACAAATATTAAAAAAATATATTCTAGTTTTGAAAACTTTACTACCCTGTATCTCAAAAGTTAAGACGTTTAGGACATATGTTCATATGAAGTTTTCTTTTTAAAATGGACCCATGCACCCCCTTAATAATTGATATTCAAGTAGAAAACACCCTGTATATTCAAATACATCAGAATCATACTTTCAGTTGATAGTTCTGATTTTTGAATAATGGTCTATTTTCTACAAAGTCTATTAAAATAATTTCTGTCTGCCATTAGACCAGGGAAAATCCGTTTTTTTATGTGATACGTGATCATGTGAATGTAGAATGGAAGTTTTACAGAATACTTCAGCGAGTTTAACTTTACGAAACGACGTTTAAACTACTGCAGGTAATCAGCCAGGTCGTTTTAATTAATTAATACACATTACCCCAATACTTGAAAAAGAAAAGAAAAAATCGAAACATTGACAGCATTGATGGTATAGATGAGAAAGGAAGACATTGATTAAATTCCAAAAAAATTATGGTTCTAGTTTCTTTCAACAATAAATAATCTACTAAATAATTGAAAAGTTAATCGTTAGGTATAATTCCAAAAAAAATGATAGTTCTAGTTTCTTTCCACAATAAATAATCTACTAAATAACTGAAAAGTTAATCGTTAGAATACTGCTGGCAGTCAATTTAAATTTTTGGATGACGAAATGTTACAGTCCACTTAATTGCCTCTCACTTGTAGGTAGCTACTCTGCGAACATATACAGGGCAAGCATTTTATATTTCAATTTTCGTTTCATTTAAATATTTTGTACTTTTGTACATTAAACTACGTAAAAGTTTAAACAGCTCACCCATTTTTGGCTAATTTTAATTTTTCGTTTCCAGCAGCTATATATTTGGCATTCGGAAGTAATTCCGTGAAGGACAATACGACTTTGTTACTCTCTAAGTGGATAAGTTTTCTAATTGCACCAAAACTAGGGTTCGTAGTGTCTGTTAAAAAAGCTGTAACATGACAAAATATTTGTGAAGCAATTCCAATTTGCCAATATCCGAGTCACCTAATATTGCATTCCAAGTTCTGTGATGCTTGGGATTGAGTAAAATCTCATGTCCGTTACTGTAAAAATCTCCATTCAGCCATACCAATATTCGTAACGTTTTGCCAAATTCCGGTTCGGCTAATTTATACAAATTGGGATGTAATAACCCTGACATCACCCACGTTCATTTCATCATCGTTCTTGAGAACCAAAATTTTAGTGTAAATTGGAAGCGAAAATTTAATACGCCAATTTTAAATATGACATCCTTCAAAAAAAGTTTGATTGTCAAATATACATTTAACTTGGTTTTCAGCTATAATTTTCAGCATTTGTGTGTGGTGGCTATGGGATTCCAGTTTTTGTGTATTACTGGTCCTAATTGTTTTTTATATAATCCACTGTCATACATATATGACAAATTACTAAATTTAATTTAAATAAACTTTCTTTGTTTGACAGTTGTATTAAGCTTGGCCTTAAAGTTAAAATTAAAAATCAAGCACCATATGCGGCTTTGCTGTTTCAAAGTATTGAAATAATATATTATTTTCTATTCCCTGCCATAAAATAAACAAATTAATCACTTTTAGCTACTGACGTTTGTCAGTTCTGATGATCACTTCACATATCAGTCATGCAACGCGCGTTGCGTTCCGCTCGTGCTAAATTTAACTCGCATAAAGTGAACAAGGAAAATCGTCGTTTTTGGGTGCATAGTTCTGTTTTTACTTGATTTTTGTTGAAGGAATCTTGGCATGGCCATAAAAAAAAATTACAGTCCCGGTGATAATTTTTATTCTCATTGAACAATCAACTGCTACTTTGCTTAGCGGTCAAGGTTGTCATCTGGAGGACGGCCAGTAAATAAATGTGACTTTCACTGGAGCTTCTGCATTTCGTGTTCAGTATACTGAAACGAAGAATTTATTTAAATCACGACAATTAATTTTTGCATAACGTACCTAATACTGTAAGATTTAAGTAAGTTTTGTTTACTTTAGATAGAATTTATTTTTTGCCGTTTCACTTAAGAGTTTATTTCCAAAGTTGGATGCATTTAATGCCTTTTCGGGCCCATGGCTTGTTGAACTGTATGACAGATTATTTAAGAGATCGATACAAGCATTTACTTAAGTATATCGGTAATTTTGGGATCTTAAGCCATCTATTTTTAACATTCATAAGAAAACTATTTCAATCAAATTCTAGGTGGTCATTTTCTTAAACGTAATTTTCAAAATTGTAAAAAAAAAACAAATATTTTAAATACGACTTCTTATCATCTTATAGATTCCGCTCGTATTAGAAATACACTCCAGGGGCTATGTGAATTTACGCAGGGGTTGAAATTGTCGTAGAATAAGGTTTATGTGCCTTTAATAAAATTTATATAGTTACTAGAGATTAAAACAACAAATGTAAAAAGTACATAAAGTGGTGCATTAACTTAAAACAATATTTTATTCTATAAAATTTTAATCATTTTGTTTTGTGGCCTTAAATACCAAAACATTTAAAAATATTTCACATCTTTTTTATTTTATTTTATCGTATCGTATACGGTTACGGATGCATTTAGATGCATGCTAATAAATCCTAGCTAAAGCATAAAATCCAGTAATTTAGATATTAACGTCTTGGCTGGTTATTATTTCGAGATGTTTTGAAACGCGCTGAAATGTTTGCGTTGAAACGGTGTCAACGTAATTAAGATTTTGCAAAACACGTACCACAAAAAAACCTAAAAATTGGTGGAAAATTTTCGTTCGTTCGAGCAATAAAAAACAGCAAACATAAAATCAATAAATTTGATACAAATAAAAATACATTAGAAATGGTGCCTAACACAAAATAAAATATGTATTATTTTCAGTAAGTATAATAATTCTGATTTCGCACAAGGTCGTCATCAATATCATATATCTACAAACACTTTTGCTTAACGTTTCTCAAAGGCCCATTGTTTTGAAACTGAAAGGTAGAGAGCGTCTGGATTCCCGCACTTTATATTTCAAAGTTGTTTTTAAATTTTTAAAATTTCTTTTAAAAGCGCTGCTTCTCCTCTTATTTTTGGAGTTTTACATAAATACCATTAAGCTAATGTATTTTTGCATACGATCCCAAATCCCAAATAAAACATTTCCAATGAAATAGTGTGATCCTCAGGGATAGCTAGCAGATATTAAAGCCCAATATTGTTGATAAACCATAGCGAGATAAATAACCTGCACTTTTGAACCAGTTCAGGACATGGTACCCAAAATGTACCAACAGTTTTGTCGCAAATGTAAGGCTAGAAACATGACATGCGAAAGGTTAGTAATCCAAAATGTTCTTCAGAGTAGAGGATGGAAGAAAGGGTTTAACCAGGCACTACCCTGAGGCTCCTGAGGAGCTAGTACTCTAGTTTTTAGATTCGTTAAAAACTAAAGTACAAATAATGTTGGCTATTGATTTTATCAAAAATATTTTTTGATTCTAATTTGGCCAAGTAGACGAGAAATTGAAAAGCGTTTAAAAAAGTTTTTTTTTTTTTTGAAGAATATGAATTTTATGATATTATTAGAAACATTATTACATCCTAGGAAAACATAAAAATAGAAAGTTGGTTATATTTTTCAAAATATTTGTTTTAACAAGGAGCACAACGAAACAAAATGGTGATACTGGGACAGAAAAAGTACAAACAAATAGTAGCAGGCACGTGAATTAAACATTTTTTTTGTAAAATGCTAGAAATATTGCTTGCTGGTTTGTTTCCAGTTCTCTAGTTGTATTTTTTTCTTTCTTTCTTAAGTTTAACGTCTTTTGTTAATGGTTTCTGGGTGCATAGAAATTAATGATTTTTTTACAATTGTTATTTAATTTAGAAATTGCTTTAGTTTTCAAATATTAATCGAGTATAAACATGCCTTGAGAATGTAACAAAAACTCAAATGTACTTTGTCTCTTTATTTGTCATCCGTTACTTCTGGGAGACCTTTCCAGTTACGCAACAAAATTTTGTATACATTTGTCCAAAACTCCCAGAAACCAATTCCTCAATTAAATAACAGAAAAAAAATCATTAATTTCTATGCACCCAAAAAACATTAATAAAGACATTAAACTTAAGAAAGAAAGAAAAAAAATACAAATGGAAACAGGCCACTTGTAATTTTTGTTTATTTTGAAGACTGTGCGTTTTTCTTTGGGACACTCTCCCAGACATTTTATAAATCATTTGAAAATATTGACGCATATAAAAGATTTGTCTCTAATTATTTTAAATCTCAAAATTCATTACATATGCATAAGTTATCGAGTAATAATGAATAAGTAATATACACACTTAAGTGGAGAATCGTTATCAATATTATGTTGCTCTTTTTTTCCGTTCCAGAAAAAGAAATTAGTCGAAGTGTAATAATTCGTCACTTTTCTGCTCAGCGAGCAAAAACGTATCTTTGTAATTATGGAAAAGCAATGATATAATAAGTTCCTAACTTCTCAATATTGAGCACATGGGTTTCTACCAAATAGAATTATGGACTTCACTGTAGGAAATTAAAAAGTCCTAAATATGAGCAAATGAGCAAAATTATTTCAAGAAAGTTATACCTTTAAGAAATTAAATCCCTGTATCCGGACAAGGAAGCATTTTTTGACAAATTACATAGCCAAATTACGCAGCCTAATTTTTTCTACTCCCCGTTTACACTTGTAGCATAACAAACTATAAAATCATAGGTGAAAAAGGAAACTTTTTTGGTTTATGAAACTGAATCGCTTAATAATAACGTGCTACACCCATCGACTAGCAAATGATTTAATTAAAAATTAATTAAAAAATTGCTGGATCGTTTATCGTTCGCTATTTTTATGTACAGCAGTCAAAAGTGTGATTAATAAAATTACCTAACAATACGTCGAGCATAGTTTATTTCTAAATCAAACAATTTGATCACGTCAACTAGAAAGCCGTTATCATAAGATCGAGCGTCCCAGACACCCAAACAATACTCGCGTGAATATATATAATCGTGATCTTAAACAATGATCCTGCGATTTCGTCAAAGAAAGTGTTCGTGTATATTGTATTGGTATATATACATTTACGTTTGAGGATGTTATTTAGGTCCCGCGCATATTAAGCAAATAAAGGCAGCGACGTTTAATGTCGACATGAGGTTGTGACATAATGGGCTGTTTGTTTAAGTCACACATGAAAAAATGACCATTTTATTTTTTATTATTTGAACGTATTTGAACAATTATTTTCTTCAGCCCTTACTCTATAGTACTTAATTATGCACCCATCAACAGTGCGGACGTTTGTTCTGACAGCCACGTCGCAAGTCAATCAGTGAATTTTTTTTTCATACCTTTCAAGCCCAAAGTTTTTTTTATGATAATGGATGCAGTAAAACATCTAGTCTAGTTCTCCAAGATTAAGAGCCATATGTTGCCAAATTGGTGGTAAGATAAATTTCAAAACAAGTGAAGCATGGTGTTAAGAATGTCTTAATGAAAATTAAGCCTTTTCAAATGGTTTTTAACGTATACGCTAATGGGACTCACTGTCACAAAAATCAAGTAATGATTTTGATTCTAAAATAAATAAGCTATAAATTAAGGCGTAAATAAGTCACATTTGGTGTACGTTATTGATCGAATTGATTGGGAATTCAAGTAATTCCGGTTACAAAATGCCGTAATACATCATTGTGAAAAGTGTTGAACTGGGTGAAACACTCCTTCGATCTAATGATTGAGCAGGTCTCCAGGCTTTGGGACGGTCGACTTTTTTTTGAAAATCAGTTCAATCGCTCAAATTGGTACCTTCTTGTCTTCTTCTGTAACATTTTAATACTTCGCATATTGTTTCAACAAACAGCGCATCGAACACCAAACCGAACACGGGGTTGCGACCGAGTTTCCATTGCATTGTCGGTATTTCCATACATCAAAGAAAATTTTCCCGACTGCGTTTGCTGCATCTATAATATTTTAATAAAATTAGAAAAAGCAAACGCTTGATAGGAATTTCCCAAAGTTAAATATTGATCGAGTGGGTTAAAAAAATAACTACCTTATTGGCATAATTCCGAACGGAGTTTTAAAATATAGAAAAAGTCGAGTAACAAACAAGTGTCACGATTAGCAGTTTTCGGACTGATTTTATTTAATAAATGTTTATCGGGAGGCATCTTTGTAAAACGTCTTGTCCCCCCGATTTTTCATTGCAGGTGCTGCTATATTTTTCATCTTGATCGC